GGGTATAACAAGAGATACATAGAAAAAAAAGAGGCTGGGGATGCCGAAGATACGAAAAGGGGTTCTTCGTGACAATGTTGCAGTCAAGCAGATAACAAGTGGGCACATAACAAATAGGGAATCCGCCAGACACGGAATTTATGAAACCCGGACAACCTTAATTAGCGTTTGGTTACAAAAGACTGGGACTAACGGAATGGGACAAAGAGATGACAGACGCCACAACACGTGGGAACAACAGAGAGGGACTGGCACACGGATTAGGATTGGGGACCAGTAGAGTGGGACGCAAGCTGATTAGGGTTTAGGGTTTAGGGTTTAGCAGGGCAAAGCGATATACGAAACAGCTCGACAGAGACTAAGAGATGCAAAATGAGAACTGTATAGGATGGGCAGGACAGCATAGGATGGAATTTTCATTACTCGAGATGCCCTTACGGGCGAAAAAAAAGGGGCCGAGGTGACTACCTAGGCTCACCCCCCTGCACCCCGCGGCTCCTAGGGGTCTGCCATGCTATGCGTCTGGGTACCACGGTTGTTTCCCGGCTATATATGAGTGGGTGCGCTAGGAGAAATGGGGTGAAAGGAAGACTGTGCGCCAAGCAGTCTCCCCTTGACAGGCGTATAGAGCCCCAAGGGTCAACAAGGCTACCCCGTCTTCCGTCACAAATTGTATCCACCGGATTGATGCCCCCTAGAACAGATGAGGCCCTGTGTGTTGGTAAAAAAAAAAGAAAAGAAAACCACTTGTATGCTAGAAAAAAGAGAGCTGCAAATCGTTCAACAGAGCGGAATTGGAATGGAAAAGCATAGTAGTCTGCATCAGAAGGGGTATTTTTGGAAGGGTAGTGTCGGGATAATAAATGCTCCGAAAACGCTTGAATGAGCTGACAGTTGATCGCAAGTGACATTCCGATTATCTGGCTGTCGACATAGTGAATGTTCCGAAATTGCTCGATTGAGCTGACAAACTGATTGCAAGTGAAAATCTGATTATCCTGTCGATTTGGAAAGGGTAGAGTACATTTTCGCAAGGTTGGTCGATGCTCTGAGGGCTTCTTAGGAGATCACCCTTTCCCGTCTGCACTGGTGAGCCCTAAGCTGATACCTGATGAGGTTTTCACTGAGAGTAATTGGAACCTGTGTAATCTCCATTGTACCTTCACATACCATCCTGCCGAGAGAGAGAGAGAGAGAGAGAGAGAGAGAGAGAGAGAGAGAGA